GACATTTTGGCTCCTGTTGCAGTCTCCAAGTTGTTTTTATTTTTAGCGCTTATTATTTTTGTTGCTTTTCGTTTAGTTAGTACAAGGCTGAGTGTAATAAAGGAACTAAAACGGCAGAGTCATCTAATGGCAAGCAAACATTATTATTATTATTAGGGGGGGAAAAGGTTACCTCGACCCAACTGGATCTATTGTACCCCCTATCTGAGCTTAGAGCTCACCCATCAACCCGGCTCCTTCGATAAGGTTAAGGAGCTTTATCGGATCGATGCTTCCAGAGGTCCCAAGTGTAAGGAACCTGGACCCGAGGGTTCTGCTCCTCAGGCTGCTTAGTGCTGGGCAATCTGATATTATGTGTATGGAGGTTTCATCCTCGTTATCACAGAATCTGCATGTTTTCCTGTTTGTAATCCCTATATTAAATAGGTGTCTCCTTAGTTTACAGTGTCCGGTTAGTAGGCCGGTGACTATCCTAAGTGATCTCTTCCCTAGTAGTATAAGTTTCTTAAACCTCTTCATGTCATAATTGACGATGAGGGTTTTGGCTTGTCTTTGGCCTGTGGTGTCTACCCAGCAGGCTTGCCTCATATGTACCTCTTCTGTTCTTAGGTAATCTTTGACTGTGTGTCTGCCTATGCCACAGTAAGGCTCGGGTCCTATAAGGGGTCTTTCCGCCCCTAGTTTTGCTAGCCTGTCGGCTAGTTCATTCCCGGATATGTCTTTGTGTCCTGGAATCCATCTTAATGACAGCCTGTTGTTGCTGCCCAGAAGGTTCAGCTTTGTTCTTACTTCTCGTACCAGCTTCGAGGTGATTCTATTGCTGCATAGTGCAGTAATAGCCGCTCGACTGTCCGAGAGGATCGCAATGTCCTTGTTTGTGTACCCACGCTTCATATTGAGCTCTACACACCGTCCTATGGCGCAAACTTCAGCTTGGAATATGCTGGTGTATTGGCCTAACGATTCATGGTATTTGATTCGTGGTCCTACTACTCCAAGGCCAGTGCCTTGGTGTGTTAAAGACCCGTCCGTATACCATGCTATAGTGTGACTCGCCATGGAGTGTACTTCCTTCATGGTGGTCCATTCTTTCTTGTTGCTCAGATAAGCAGAGAAATTCTTTTCAAAGATGAATTCTACTGTCATTTCGTCCCTGGGGTGTGAGCTCAGGGGAAGTTCGACTAGTAGTTTTGCCGCATCCCTAGAACTGAGGATGCGGTCACTGCCATTACCACAAGAAGTGATTCTTAGTAGGGTGGCCTTCCGCTGTAACTCTACTACGCAGTGAAGCGGAGTGAGTTCCATGAGAACTTCCAGTGCCGCAGTGGGGCAGGTTCTCATTGCTCCTGTCATACATATGCATGCCAGTCTTTGCAGCCTTTGGAGCTGTTTCTGTGCGGTAACGAGCCTAGCTCGCTTACCCCAGGCTACTGACCCGTATGTGAGTATTGGCCTCACAATTATAAGGTATAACCATCTGATAATTTGGGGTGAGGTCCCCCAAGATTTCCCTGCAATTTTCCGACAGGTGAAGAGAGCCCTGAGGCACTTATCCACTGTCTTTTGCATATGGGTTGCAAACGTTAGCCTTCTGTCGAAGGTAACTCCGAGGTACTTAACTTCCCGGCTTATTGCTACGGGAGTACCTAGTAGTATGATTTGTCTCATCTTCTTCAGTTTGTACTTCTTTGTAAAAGGAACAATGACTGTTTTTGCGGGGTTGAGGTTAAGCCCAACTTCCCTGCACCAGTCGAGCGTTATCTTGAGTCCGAGTTGGACAATATCGCAAAGCGTTTCTTCAAATTTCCCTTTGGCTACTATTATTATGTCATCGGCATAGCCCTGACATTGTATTCCTCTGTCGGCGAGTTTCTTTAGTAGTTCATCTACTAGTAGGCTCCACAGTAAAGGAGACAAGACTCCACCTTGCGGACATCCTCTGCTTGTGGCAACGGTCATTGTGCTGTTGCCAATGGTCGCCATTGCCTGCCTGGAGCTTAGCAAGGCTCCAATCCACCTTCTTGTTGTCGCGTCTATATTCCTTCTGGCGAGGGCCGCTAGAACAGCATCATGCGACGCATTGTCAAAGGCTCCCTCTATATCCAGAAAGGCGCAGATTGCAACTTCTTTGTTGTCTACTACCCCTTCAAGAGTGTGACAAAGTTGGTACAGTGCAGTGTCTGTTGAACGACCTGCCCTGTATGCGTGCTGCGTGGGTTGCAGCGGACAGTCCCTAAGAACTGTGCTCCTAATATGGTAGTCTACCAGCTTTTCCAACGTTTTAAGGCAAAACGAGGTTAAGCTGATAGGTCTGAAGGACTTTGGGTTGGTGATGTCTTTCTTCCCTGCTTTGGGGATGAAGACCACCCTAGCTCTACGCCACGCATTTGGGATGTGTCCAATTGCTAGGCTGCTTAGCATCAGTCTCCTTAAGCGGGTTAGGAGTAAATCCAGTCCCTGCTGCAGGAATGATGGAGAGATACCATCCAGACCAGGTGACTTAAATGGCTGGAAGGTCCCAATTGCCCATTTAAGTCTCTCCGGAGAGACTAGAGACTTGGCAATTGCCCAGTCCTCTGCGCTTGGTCTGAAGTGTCTTGGAGTGGACGATGCCTCCATTGGGTTGGACGTATCTTCCGCCAGGGGTGAGCTCCCGGGGAAGTGTGTTTTAAAGAGTAAAGCTAATTTATCCCTGTCGTCGGAAGTGTAAGCGTTGTCACATTTCCTCAGGGCTAGGTTACTTTCTGGTGCAACTTTGGCCATAGCCTTGTGCAATCTTGCCCCTTCATGGGCGGCAAGCAAACATATTTAAACTCTATTTCTGATATTGGGTAGTGTTCTATCTCACTACTTAATTGATTATCATTTAAATATATACCTATTGAAGAACTAGCCAGTGGACTTTCGAATAAATTACGGCAGTTTAAAAATCGGTTTCCTTTCAAGAAAACTGTTCCATCATGCATATAAAAGTCTGCTATTTTAAATTGAACCCCAGACTTCAGGCCACAAATGTTGTCTGGCCTTTGAAGAGATAATTCAAAATCTTTAAAAAAAAATATTTAACTATTTCACCATGCCGGTTAACTTTAGGTCCCAATTTCTTTTTTTTTCCCTAGTAAAGTGATTTGAAAATTTATTGTTGATTTGTTCTAAAATCGTCTTGGCGTTTTTGACATTTTTTTTTACCTTTTGCAAAAAGTTTTCAAATTTGTATGCAGTAAAGCCTGGGATATGGCCATGTTCCTCGATACAATCGACAAGATGGAGCATATTGTGAACATTATAAGTTAGACCTTCAGCAGGATATATATTTGTAAATGTTTTCACAAAATGATCTATTAAGTCCCTGGCAACGTTTAAGTTATTTAAATATTTTTCTGCGACTAACATTCTATAAGCACAACAAAATAATAAAAAGTGATAGTAGCAGTCATCAGAAACAATATTCTTTAAAACTGCAACTCCTGTGTATAAAATAAATTGTCTAAACTCAATTGCTTTCCATCTGAGAAACTCTTCAAGAGACCTAGGCTTTCTTCCAAATTCGGCGGGTACAAATTTCTTTAATTTTTCTAAACTTTTTGATATTAATTCTAAATGTTCTTTCGATAATTTAAAACCCACGGTTTTTTTATCCTAAGTCTAACAAATGCACAGGATCAATAGGGAATCCTTTAATCATATCAAAATCTTGTCTTTCTAGGATGAGAGGATTTTTTTTAAAAAAAGGTAAGTGATGATCGGAATAAACTCTATTTCTAAAATCATTATTAGACATAATAGTTCCCACACTGTCAGAATATGTTGTAACATTATTTAATCTTTTCCCTAATTGTGTACATTTCATACAGCCGTTAAATGCATTTGTACCTACCACCCCACACATTAATGCTCGCGTTGGAGCATCACAAATAAACGAATTTAACTTGATTTTAATCTCCTTTGTTCCAATAATAAGGGGTGTTCCAACTAAATCCAATAATTCTTCTACAAAGTCATGTAAATAGTGATTAACATTATCCGGCTTGGAACTGCCTACGTAGGACCTTATCATAAAAACTTCAGAGCTTGGAAGATTTTTAAAGAATCCTAAAATTGGCCAAACATTAGCATTGAAACTCTTGTAAAGTGGAAGCCCGTCAACATTTATATCTAAAACTAATTCCTGTCCGCTTTCTAAATAATTTTCTATAGCTTCTAGATAACTCCTAATCCCTATATGATTATATTGACCTGGTGCTACACTTCGAATTGTAGTCGGAACTGAAATTCTAGTTTTCAAAACTCCCTTTTCTGAAATTGGGACATCTATGTTTTCTGATTTTAATATTTTCAATAACTCTTCAAGTTGACTCCTATTAACATTAATTTGTCTGTATTAATTTTCTAATTTCGTATGAAGGGAGGGTGTACTATTAAACTCTTGGTATTCTGGAAACCCTATATTTTCACTAAAAGTGTCTTGCTGAATTATACTGGTAGTATTGATTGTTGTGTTCTGATGCCTGCCTGTAGCCTTCAATATTTCTGCATATATTTTTTAGCCCTACGGTATATGTATACTTGACCGAGATGTACCACTCATTTTAATACTTATTTCTTCAAAACACTAACAAAAATATTTTGCACTGTTAAAATTGTACGTCCGCACTTGTCGCTTGATAAATATCAACTAACTTGCCTACAGGATATAATTTGCATTTATAGGACTTTTGTTTGCAGGTAAGAGGTCTACTTGTAACCAAAGGGTTAAATATTTAGCTATTTTGCATTCCTTTTTACCTGGCAGGTAGCTTTGTAGTAGGTTAGGTAAGTCATTTATACCTTTATACCCAAGTTAGGTATACCTTTTTCGTAACACCTGTTTAGACCTCATTGTATTTTACCTTTTAGGTCCGAACCTTGCAGAATTACGCAATTAGGTTTTGGGTTTAAAATCCCTAAATGTACAAGTCTCAGGTATTTGTTAATTAAAAAATGTTTATCTATTTCAGAATGGATGATCACGAAAATTATCCCGCAATCATAAAGCTCGAGCAGCAAATAAATAATTTGGAACGTAAGTTTAATTTAATTTATTTTTCAATTTTACAAACAAATGTTTTTTTGGAATTTGTAATAGATTTGGCTTCAAAGATTTTGGCCCACGTGTCAGTGTTGACAGCCCACATGAACGTAAAAAAATAATTTCCCGATCACTACGTTTGCAGAGCTCAACCAAATTGACCCCGATGCCGAAGCAAATCCGGATGCATTTGTACATAAGTACTCACTAAATTGTTAATAAATTTCAATAGCCCTTAGTAACAAGCATGGAAATATAATGCTTTTTACTATGTAATTAGATTTGTTTAAAATTATGCAGTTTTAAATATATTATGTTTTATAATTATTATTTTTATGGTTTCTTTTTGCAGATCAGATTATTCAAAAATATAATCGGCGGGGAAGGCATCGTAACAGGCCTACGCCGTCTGATAGCAGACGAATTGCTCTTTAAAATGAACTTATCCGGAAAGATGGGACAGGTCGGTCTCATGAAGTACTCAAGCTTCACAAACGTGCTATATGGTAATTATACATATTTTTCTAAATTCCCATTACTGTTTATATATTTGTTATGTATTATGGTTTTTATTTTCAGAGTCACTCAGGCACGAGCATTACAGCCTTCGGCAGTTCCATGATGACCTGCGCGCATCGTTCGCGAAAGCGAAAAACAAGGTCTACAAAAATACATATGAAAAGAAGAGGAAAACAAAATTTCAGGACTAAATTTTTATTAGTCCTGAAAATTTGTTTTCCTTTTTTTCATATTATTTATTTTTGTAGACTTTATTAATCGTATCGATTATACCAAACAATAAAAAATATATAATAAATATATTTTATAAAAAAAGACCAAATTAAAAAGTATTCTATTTTGGAAAATCACCTATTGCAATTGAATGGAAATTCAATATTGAAGTTCAATGGAAATGCACATATTGCGGGAAAGCGAAAATCCAGTGGACATATAACTGCTGAATGCAGGACAAAAGCCAGTGGATTTTGCCCTGCAATCAGCAGCCGTATGTCCACTGGATTTTGGCCTGCATTCAGCAGCCGTAGGTCCACTGGATTTTGGCCTGCATTCAGCAGCCGTAGGTCCACTGGATTTTGCCCTGCATTCAGCAGCCGTGGGTCCACTGGTTTTTGTTCTGCTTTCAGCAGCCAGAGCATCCACAGGTTTTTGGCCTGCAAACCTCCTTTACCCCTTCCTTTTGTGTGTCACCCCCGTGTATTTTGAAAGGAGAGACGGCAAAAATGTAAGGGGTGAAGGAGGTTTTTGCCCTTCCGCTTGTATGAAGAAACCACTGAAAAATAGCATATTTTCCACATCTTTTCCCGCTGGGAAGCTCATACCACACAAACGAAGAAGATCATTAATAAATATATCGTGAAACGAACCAGACGTGTTTTGGTCTACAATCTCAGAAGTGGGATTAACTGTGCTTAAACGAGAGTAAATTTTTTTTTACTTACTCGCTATTCCTGACAAACAATTAAAAAGACCAAAAACGACATCATGGGTAAAAGTATTGAAAGTTAAATTTAGCCGATATAACAACATTGTGCCAAAAATTAGACGTGCCAAGTTCGGGCAACAAAGCTACACTGAAATCACGACTATTAGAAAAAAGTTCGAGTGAATTACAAAAATCGTTAAGCCAACTAAAAAATAACACTCCAAAAAAACTTGAAAACAAACAAAATGACAATATTAATAAAAAAACTCCACAAGGAAAAAATAATGATAAAATTAAAAAGCTACAAATTTGTGAAATTCAGACGCTACAAAACTGCAACAACGCCAAAAATGCAGCCGAAGTTCTAGAAGCTGGCGCCATCGCCGAAGGAGACGACGAAGACAAAACAGTTATGATTGAGCAAGGAAGCAAAATAGATACAGAAGAAATGGAAAAAATGCGTGAAGAAGAAAACGAACTAAATATACTAAAAGCAGAAAATGAAAACCTAAAGAAACAGTTAGAAATGTTTAAATGTTTATACAAAAACGACGCAGCCAGTGATAGAGATGGACGAAATTCATTTCTGATCATAAAAGATTTTGTGTCTGCTTACGATGGTTTAACGAATGCGAATTTTTGGATCACACAATTGGAAAATATTAGGGAAACTTACCGTCTTAACGATATCATGATGCGTGGAATATTAAATACAAAACTTACTGGTGAAGCACACCGCTGGTTACATGCACGACCGAATTGGATTTGCGAAAATATGGACGACCTATGGCAACAATTTAAGATAACGTTCGAGTTTAAAGAAAATAAATTACGCATCCGGAAAAATTTTGAACAACGAAAGTGGCAACCTGGAGAACCTTTTGGTTTATATTTCAACGAAAAATTAGTTTTGGCCAATAAATTAACAATTGATGAAGATGAACTTATTGAATATATAATTGATGGTATACCTCATCGTCAAATAAAAAATCAAGTGATAATGCAAAAAATTAATGACAAAGAGAATTTACTTCGAACATCAGCTGATGTGGAGCTCAAGATGCCGGCAAGTCGAAATTCAGAGGCTGCCCCGAACAACGCTATGAAGGAAAAAAGAGATGACTACAAAAAGGGAGAACGTTGTTACAACTGCAACAGTGTGGGTCATTATGCGGCTGACTGCAACAAACAGAATCGTAAGCCTGGATCGTGTTATGCCTTTGGAAGCGAAGCCCATACTGTTAACGACTGCTTGATGAATAAGAAGAAGAAGACCCCAACGCAGAATGATTATGTAAGATTATTTAAGTTTTATTTAAGCCAGAGAAATAACAAAAATTTTATTTTAGAATGTTTGATTGATTCCGGCAGCCCCATTAGTTTCATGCAGCAACGAATGCTACCAAGAGGAGTTAATTTAATAAGTAATGAAAATATGTTTTTTGGTTTAAATGAAACAAAATTAAAAGTATTTGGAAAACTATTATGTTATGTTGAAATAATAAACACAAAGATTGAAATTGAAATGTATGTGGTTGCTAATGAATCAATGAAACACAATGCAATTTTAGGACGCGATTTTTTGGCTAAGAGCAATAGTAAAATCATATGGCTTGAGACAAAAAACAATAGTACAATTGAAAAACATAATGATTCAAAAGAAATTATAAAAAATAACTTGAAGCTTAAAAATGACTGCAATTTTTGTGAAGAAAATTTTGAAGAACAAAATTTAAATAGAAGAAACTGAATTACATTTGAACGTTGGTGAAAACATTGATTATAAAATTAAGAATAAATTAGTAGAAATGTTTAAGAAAACAAATGTTAATTCAGAACGACCTGATACACCAAATGTTCGTACAGAAATGAAACTTGTCGTAAACGATAGCAAACCATTTAATTGTCCTCCTCGTAGGTTATCACATATGGAAAAGCAGGAATTACAGAAAACATTAGATGATTATTTGTCAAAAGGAATTATTAGAGCTAGTGAGTCTGAGTATGCATCCCCTATTGTTTTAGTGCGTAAAAAGACAGGTGAACTACGGATGTGTGTCGATTTTCGAAACCTAAACAAAAATACTGCTAAACATAATTATCCAATCCCTTTGATTGATGATCTTTTAGAAAGTTTACTAAATAAAAAGTTGTTTTCAAAATTAGATCTAAAAAATGGATTTTTTCATGTGTTTATGAATGAAGAGTCAATAAAATATACTTCATTCATTACACCTTTAGGTCAGTTCGAGTTTTTAAGAATGCCTTTTGGTCTCAAAAATGCTCCATCAATTTTTCAGATGCTTATAAACAAAGTTTTTGCTGACTTAGTTAGACAAGGTAAAGTTATTATTTATTTAGACGATATTATGATTGCAACAGCAAGTATTAGAGAACATTTAGAGATTTTAGAAGAAGTTTTGAAGCGAGTTGTAGAAAACAAGTTAGAGTTATGGCTAGACAAGTGCGAGTTTATGAAAAGTTCTGTTAAATATTTAGGATATACAATTGATGAAAAAGGAATTCGGGCAGACGAAACAGGACTAGAAGCTATTCGAGATTTTCCGATACCGGAAAAAGTGACTGCAGTACAAAGTTTTTTGGGACTATGCTCATATTTCAGAAGATTCATTAAGGATTTTTCAATCATTGCTAAACCTCTTTATGATCTTACGAAAAAAGATAAAAAATTTATATTTGGCCAAGAAGAATTAGAAACATTTGAACTGTTAAAAGAAAAATTATTAGAATCGCCAGTTTTAGCATTATTTAATCCAGCGGCAGAAACGGAAATACACTGTGATGCAAGCGCTCTGGGTTATGGTGCGGTTTTAGTCCAAAAGAAAGACAATAAATGGCATCCATTTTTTTACTTTTCCAAAAGAGCCACAGCAGCAGAATCAAAATTTCATAGTTTTGAATTAGAGACTTTAGCAATAATTTACGCTTTAAGACGTTTGTTTGGTCATGCCGCAGCCTAAATCCAATGATTATATTCAAATCGTAACGTAAAACTAAACTCGCGATGTTCTCCTTTTGATTTGCTATTTGCCCTGCGCGGCAACACTGTTTTGATTGTCATTATACCCTTGCAGAGCAAAAGGGTATTATAATTTCAGTCAGAAGTTTGCAACGCAGTGAAGGAGACACCTTAGACCCCATAAAGTATATATATTCTTGATCAGCATAACCATCTGAATCGAAATATGTATGTACGTCTGTCCGTCTGTCCGTCGGTCCGTCTGTCCGTCGGTCCGTCTGTCCGTCGGTCCGTCTGTCCGTCGGTCCGTCTGTCCGTCTGTCTGTTTCTATGTAAACTAGTCTCTCAGTTTTAAAGCTATCTTGCTGAAACTTTCACAAAAGTTGTGTAGCTATTGCACGCAGTATATAAGTCGGAACGAGCCGGATCGGCCGACTATATCGGATAGCTCCTATACGAGAGAATGAAATAAAAAATTCTCACTCCTTTGTTTTTGATCAGATCGACTTGAATTCTTCCAGATGGGGTTTTCTAACTACTATTGAATTTCGGATTAAATTTTATCAAAATCGGATAACTCTATCATATAGCTGCCATAGGAGACCTCAAAAATATATATATAAAATAATGGAAATAAATTGATAACATCCTTGTTTTTTATCCCATGATCATGATTTTTTGAATATCAATTTTTTTAACAACTCTTATATTGAGAAAAAAGTTTCATAAAAATCGGACAACGATATCTCATAGCTGCCATAGGAAAGATCGAAAAATCTATATAGTTTTAACGGAAATAAAATGATAACATCGTTACTTCTCTTCAGAAAATCATGATTTTTGGAATAAAGAGTTTTCTAACGACTCTTGAATAACAAATTAAATTTTATCAAAATCAGACGACTATATCATATAGCTGCCATATGAACAATAGTCAAAAATATGGAAAGTTAATAGAAAAGTCGTCGTAGCTTCGATGTAGTTTAGCCTCTGTGTATTCTGTTCGAAATGTTTGATGACTGCAAGGGTATATGAGCTTCGGCTTGCCGAAGCTAGCTTCCTTTCTTGTTGCTAACTACCTTTGCACTTTTTCGCTTATTCGCTTCCTGGCCTTGTCCACGGCAAGCTTCACCCAGTTCGAATTTGTACACGCACATTGAAGGCACGATCGCTGATCGCCTGCCAAATCTCGGCTTTATATACTTTCGCGACTAAAACGGCACAGACA